CTCCCTACTTTCTATAATCTACCTTTTATATTGCTCTTCATTTGTATTTTGAGTTTCTCATATAAGAGAAACTATGCAATATTTAAGGTTGTGTGGACTGATTTATTTAACTTAACATTATGGTTTCACTAGGAAGAATTTTTAGAGGCAAAAGTAATTGTCATTTGGAGGTGCTTAGCAGTAGGATTATAATATAAATTAATGGGCCTAAGATGTCTGTACCTATTAATTGATTAAATGACTTTATTGCCTTTTTTGATAGAAAAAAATTATATTTTCTATGAATTTATCAGACTTCTTGGCAGTTGTGTTTCCTCAGGGTAGGGTAGCAAATCAGCATTCTGACTCATGAATCCATCTCTTTGGTAGGGTTGATTAGTATGCATATGTCTCTTAAGAATTCGGTCCTACCTGAGAAAGCTTCTCACTAGCCCTCAAATTTTATCACATAGATGTCTATGTGGCCTGACGCTCACATAACACTGGGGTGAGGGATAGAAGTAGCTCTGGATTTTTGTATTTTAGAGAGAGACACATACAGTGTATATACCTATATATTCTAGGAACATTATATCACAACCAAATTTATGGTTGTATAAGTGGCTTTATGAGGGTAGTGAAATATTGTATTACATTCTGAACTTGATGTTAGAAATTGTTTTTATCCTTAACTTTTAATCCTATGAATCAATAGGCTTAATAATAGTGAATAATAGTGAAAAAATAGTGAATAAAAATATGGGTAGTATGTTCACAGAAATACTGCTTTTAGATATTTCATTCCTTTCAGAATTGAAGCTTGAAGGGGTATTGCAGAGCTAGAGGCCGCCAGTAGATAGGATCTTATTGACAGGTTTTAGGACTAGGACAAGATTTTTGACTTAGAGTGAGGTATCTGGCCTAGAAGTGTAGAGTAAGTAGTAGGAGGTAGCTGGTCATATTCCCTCCACATTCAACCAGTCTTGTTATGTGTTTTATCTTCCTAGAATGAATGAACTTTAAACAAAACCCTTTGGATGGTGGTTTGAATTATCAAGTTGTTTTCATTTTAACAGACTTGGAAAATACCCCTATCAGCACAGTGCTGCTTTGATATACAAAGAATATAGGAAATACTGATGTTCAATAATTTGTTAGAAAATATTACAAATGGTACTGGGAAAATTGATTACACTCATTCAGAATATTGAATCTAGACCATATTTATTACCTTGCACCAAAATAAATCCAACATCTATTCATAATAAAATATCTGAAGAAAATAGATATAAAAGGACCTTATCTCAACCTGATAAAAGCCATTTATGAAAAACCTGCTACCAACATCATATTAAATGGGGAAAAACTGAAAGCTTTCCCTCTAGAATGCGGAACAGCCAGGGATTTAGCTCAGTGGCACCACACCTGCCTCACAAGTGCAAGGTCCTGGGTTCGATCCCTGGTACCACAAAAAGAAAAAAAAAAGGTAAAATGGGGAACAAGACAAGGATATCCACTATTACCACTCCTGTTCTATATAGTACTTGAAACATTGGCTGAAGCAATCAGGGATGAGAAAGAAATAAAGAGATACATATAGGAAAGGAGGAAGTCAAATTGTTACTATTTGCAGATGGTACAATTCTTTACATAGAAGAGCCAAAAAATTCCATCAAAAGACTTCTATAATTAATAACAATATTCAGCAATGCAGCAGGATACAAAATCAACACATAAAAATCAATAGTGTTTTTGTACATTAATAATGATGGCACTGAGGAAGAAATTGGGGAAATAATACCTTTCACAGTAGCATCAAGAAAAATTAAATACATTGGAATTAATCTAACCAAGGAAGTGAAAAGATGTCCCCTATTCCTGGAGAGGCAAAACCAATATTGTCAAGATGGTCATACTTCCAAAACTGGCCATATATATATATATATATATATATTTTTTTTTTTAGTGCAATCTTAATCAATACCAAAAGCATTCCTCACAGAACTGGAGAAAACAATTTTGAAATTCATATGGAGCCAGAAGAGACTTAGAATAGCAAGAGCAATTCTGGGCAACAAGAGCAAAGCCAGAGGTATCATAATCCTGGATTTCAAGTTATATTATAGAGCTATCATGACAAAATTAACATGGTACTAGCAAAAAAAAGACATGTGGATCAATGGAGCAGAATAGAGGACGCAGAAACAACTTCAGACATGTTCATCCATCTGAAGGCATCGACACTACTCATTTCAATCTTTGATCATTTCTTTTATTTTTTTCTCTATACAAATTTTTATTTGTTTTATGACCTTGGCTATCAAAATCTCCAGATTTAACTTTGGCCTACATTTTTTACCCATCAGTCACATTCGCTATCATTATTTTTAAGTCAATCATTACTTATTTCTCAATGAATTCTTGCCATCACTTCAAACTCAACAGTTCAAAACCTGTGCTCATTATGTCCTAAAATTGTTACTTCTTCTTTAAGTCACCTATTTTCTGATGAGTAGTAATACTACTGCCCAGATTTCACAGGTTTGGAATTTCAGACATATCTCCCAGAATCTCTGTATCTAATCACTCATGAACTTCCATTTATTATTCTTTTTAAATGTCTCTTGAGTTCCTCTCCATTCTATTTCCACTATCACTAACCTAAACTTCTCCCCTTTGTCTTTCCAGCTGTAGTTTGCACCAAATGTAGTAAAGCTGATAAAATTCTGCAAGACTCATCTATTCAAAATATTTTTCTATTGTCTTTAGATATTAATAATTTGCTGATAGTTTCCCATTAGAAAATGCCTGAAATTCAGTGTCGCATAAAATTTGCCCTTAGACATTCATTCAAATTTACTTTCTGTTACTTCACAATCCAGTGCCTTTACTCTAGCCAAATCAGGCTCATTGGTGTACCCTGCAGATGTTAAGCTCACTCTTGACACAGATTATTTCTGACATAATTTCTGTGACAAGAACTGAATCCAAACAACCTATTTTAGCCACATCTTATGTGTTTGGCACATTTGCTCAGAACAGTCACAAATCCTAGATATTCTTTTAGAGCTATACTATTTTGTTTCTTCTTTGAAACCTTCTCCATTTAGCTGGTTTTTGTTCACTCAGCTTCTTTGCCATTAAAAAATGGCACTGGTTTATGGTCTCATATTTTTTATGCTCTCTAGGTCTTTTAGTTCTACCAACACTACATTCCCCAAAGTCAGGAACTATGTCTTACCTTACTTTGTGCCATGTATTCTACTGAGCTTGATTAATACTTGTTTACAAGGATTACCACACATTTTAGATATTTCAATAGGAACATGAGAAATAACAAAATGGATCAAAATAGAATTCTATGCAGAACTAGGTTAATTAGGCAATTATGATAGTTACCATTCATAGTATCAAATCCACAAAATTATGTACATATTTTAAGAATTACTACCTTCCCTTTAAAATCCCTTATTACCAACCAATGATCCTGCAAATGCAAATTTATAATTTTCTTTACCATAGAAGAATCTTGCTTTTATCTTAAATAAATAGCTCATGAATTCATTAAAAGTTTAATTAGGAGGGGCCGGGGATTTAGCTCAGTGGTTCTGCCGCCTGCCTCGAAAGCTCAAGGATCTGAGTTCGATCCCCGGTACCAAAAACAAAAATTTAATTAGGTTATGAGGGAGAAAATAATACAAAGTGAGAATTGATGACTCTGGATTAGGAAGACACTGACATATTAGATTCAGCCTCAATTCAATCTGTAGACTTTCCTTAACCTATCATTCTGTTTGGGCTAACTGGGTCCCTGGCTAACTTATTTTATTTGCAGGAACTGATTAGCTGGTATGGCTGATATTAATGGAAATTGAGGACCAGTTTTTAAGAAAATGAATGTAAAAAAAGAAAATGAATGTAAATATATTT